TCAGGGCAACATGAGCAAGCCAGAGTCACCAGCTGAAAACAAAATGCTGTCATGTCTTTGCCCTCAAGAGGGGACTGCCAGGGAGTTTACAAGCTGGTAATTGCCCGATTACAACAGCCTTCAGAAAAGGGGCTGTTCCAGGATGGGCACTGTCACTGCGTGACAAGGGGAAGTGAAACCATGTAAGAACTGGATACAACACTGTGAAAAAAGAAACAGGCATGACTGGAGGAACCTCAGACCTGCCTGGTTGAAAACAGCAAACCCAAGAAGAAGCAGCAATTTCCTACCCTGTAGCAAAACCCATTTTGGAACAGAATAGTTTCAAGCGTGCTTGGCGGGTCTCTTTTGAACAGCCTGCTCCCCTTCCCCCTCCATTTTGCTTTGGAAAGGTTTTGCTGACCTTCATCGCCAAAGAGGATGAGAATGAGACCCAGGAAGGGGATGGAGTGAGCAGGTACAGAGGGAGGAGGATGTGCCACACTAGAATGGGCAAGACTTGCTGGGTCACAAAATTCCCCAGCCATTTGCTGGGCCGTCTTCGGAGGCCTTCCGCCTTCATTGCAGATGGCACCATTCGCCTGGAAGTCTCGAGCACAGCGGAGAAATGCCATCGCTATTTCTTAGACAGGGAAACCGAGGCACGGTGTTGCTGGTGAACACCCATACGGTTGGAAAAGGCTTTCTGTCATCACAAGGCATACTGTAATTCCTCAGATTTTTTTAGGAATTCCTAAAATTTTTGCCACAGCTCAAATTTGGGAACATTTGCATTACTCCTTTGCAAGAGCTACTAAAGCAGGTACTTGCGCACAGTATTTCTTGAAGGTACTTTTTCACTGGAAACAAATATTTAGATGAAAGGCAAAAGAAGCAGCTAATTTAAGTGTATGCATCAAGCATCAACAGTGGGCACACGCTAACAGTGTAGCAGGACTTTACTGCAAATGCAAGCACTTACAGGTTTTGACTGTGCATCTATTACAGACGCTTGCTAAGGGGAAGCTCAATGCTACAGTATGTTTTTCACATGATACTCATTCCTTGGGATCCAATGTGGGATGAGAGAGAACTGCTTAGTCACAAGAAGAGCAGATGTGGAGTGCATGTGTTTCTGCCAAGATAGTGAACAATTTTTCCCATCCCCTCTGGAAACATCTGTCACAGCTTTCCTTTACTGGTTTTGGATGTTGCAACTTAATATTTGAAGTTAATGCTGTGGGTGGATATGTTATTTTTATGCATCCCATGAGTGAAAGAAGAAGTTCGGAGATCATTTATTAATCAAAATATAAACTGTTTGTGACACTTGTGTTTTCATACATGGGAGATTTTGAGAAGTTCCAACTGAAATCCCCCTACACACTTTTCTTGTTGCTCTCAGAGCAACACTAGTGGGTTTCATCAGCTTTGTGGGGTTTGAGTTTCTGTCTATGGGTGATGCAAAAAAAGAGAAATACCTACCTTTTTTTTTTCTAGGCAGGCACAACCATAGTAAATAAATGAGGTCTAGCCGTAAAAAAAAAAAAAAAAAAAAAAAAAAAAAAAAAAAAAAAAGTATACAATGTCTTGCTTCCGCCCTCTGGCAGTTATGGCTTGGAGGATCCAGACAACCTCATGAGGTGCATCTGGAATTGTACCAGGAGGTTATAGGTGCCATTATGCATCTGGCACAAGCCTTTTTCCCCTTTCACAGGATCATTCGGTGTCTTCTACACCTCATTCATATGCAAATCTTTGTTCACCTTCCAAAAGGAAAAACAATCATTTTTTCCTAAGAAGAATAAACAGATTTTTTTTTGTTTAAAAGTAGGATCACTAAATGATAGTGATATGTTTGCTAGTGTTGGGACAAGATTAATTTCAGCATAAATATTGCCATTGTTATTTTTGTTACGTGAATAGTAATATACACATGGAGTACCACTAAATATAGTAATAGATACTTTTTTAATCAGAAGGCATTCATATTAACTCAGACTTGAATGAAACTAGAATTGTCACTGCACTTAAATGGTTAAAAAGAATAATATTCTCAGAAACAGGGACCTAGAAGTAGAGTGTGGTTTGGACCCCTACACCATTAGCCCATGCACTGAAGTAGAAGGCAGGCTGGTAAACCGTCATATGGAAACCTGTGGATTGCACTGCCACATGGAGCTATGTGCCTTTATAGATCTTGGCCTGAGCAAACTGAGCTAATTAGCCTGGCTTTGAGCAGGGGCTTGGATGAGATGACCTCCAGAGGTCCTTTCTGACCTAAATTACGGTATGATTTTATGGCTGAGGAATAAATAGGTTATTTTCTACAGGGGATAGACATGTCCTTATGTGTACAGATCTCCCCTGGAGTTCTACCCAGGCTGAAAACAGCTTCCTGTACTCCTCCCCTTTCTTTATTCCTTGCAAATACAGTTTGTATAAATAGGAATCAGCAAGAGGGCTTCATGCGAGTGAGTAAGCATGAATGATGCCTGTAGTTCATCCTTCTTGCTGACTAAGACTAAATGTGACAGCATCCGCAAATCTAGGGTGAGGAGTTCAGAAGAATTGATCTTTAATGAAGGTTTTGAGGGATACCATGACACCCCCAAAACCCAACACTAGAGGGAAGAAAGTTGTACAAGCTCAAAACCTCCACAGGTGAAATCCTGTGGTGTAACCACATACAAATTCACTATTACTGTCTTGCACAAACAGATGCATTTAGTACTTTGGTCCACAAGCCTGCACATCTCAAACAGCAATAAAGCTAATCCTGCAGATATGTTTAGGGGAAAAGAACAAGAATTTTGACTCATTGAAGCAGTCAGCCCTTTCAGAGAGAGGAGGACATGTGGTTTCATGGTTTCATTACCTGTTGCTCTTTACTCGTCCGTAATCACCACTTCTCAGTTGGGATGCTGCAGTGCTGCAGTTAATAACAGAACTGAAACACAAATGCTTCTACCCTCTTGTCCTTCGTTTTTGCCAAGCTCTTCATTTCCGGACTGCTGCCTGATCACTTTCATGTTTATTTGTCACTGCTGGGGCTTTGGGGATGGGGAGGCAAGATTAAATATCAAGGTTGTCCTCCAAGATAATAGTGAATACAGATGCTCTTTGCTCAAACGTGAGCAGAAAATAACGGATTTTGTTACTTTGTGTTTTACAGCCATCTCGGACCCCAAAGTGGAGGCTAAGCTTATACCCAGTCCAGACAAAGCTGAGGACTCTGAGAAAGTGGTGGGGATGAGCTGCTCAGCAACAGGGAAACCAGCTCCAAAAATCACCTGGCACCTTCCCAGCATCCTGCAGCAGAAACCAAGGGAGTACCATGTCAGGCTCGACAACCAGACTGTGACTGTCATCAGCAACTTCACCCACACCCACTCCAAAATCCTCCAGGAGTATCACATTGCCTGTGTGATCCAACACCCCTCTCTAAATGTGACCCTGGTCCTGCCCATAGACACCATGGTGCGGGGTCAGTATGCAACACTGCTCCTGTCCTGGAGCAGGGAGGAGGCCACAAAACACCTCCTGGGGTAGATCAAGAAAATCCTCGGGGGGGTGGGGGGGGGGGGGCAGGTCATGTGGGGAAGGCACCTGGAAGAGCAGCCAAGGCTGGGCTGGGGAGGGGCAGAGGAGGTGCCAAGGAGCATCCAAACGCCCTTGGCGATGGCACAAAATGTCTTACTGCTTGCCGGGTGCCCTGCACGCTGTGATGTGCACAAACCTCCCTGCCTCTGCCGAGGACTTGCAGGGTTCCCCTGTCACATAGTCTGATGCATCAAGAGGACGTGCGGCTTTGGGTAGCTCGGAGGGGCTGGGTGTCACATGGCTGATCGTGGCAACAGTCCCCAAATGCAGGTCTGCTGGTGGTGCCACTTGTGTGCATGCTGGCATGTGCTCCCAGTGCCCTTATCCGCCCTATCTCACCCTGGGGACTGGCCAAGGAATGTCTGAAATGGGTTTGGGTTGTTTTATTTTCTTCATGCACAAACTGAGTACCCGCTGCTTTCCCCACAGGTCTGGACAGCAGTGTGGCACCAGCCATTGCCATTGCAGTGGGGGTGCTGGTCCCCCTGACTTCCGTCCTCCTTCTCGCCTGCTTCTGCTGCTGCCTCAGGCACCTACATGACCCAGAGGGAAACCCAGCCCAGCAATGCTGGGTAGGTCTGCCTTTCCCCAGGCTGCTGTAGGGCTCACCCACACAGGTTGCAGGGCTTGCCACCGGGACCCAGCTCTGCCCGGCCACACCGGAGCTGGCTGCATGCTGCCCAGCCCGGGCTGCACCCGGGGCAGGGAGAGATGAAGGGATCAGCCCCCAGCCAGACAGCTGGGTAGCAGCACGCTGGGAAGGGGAAGCCTGAAGGTGCTTAGCTAGTCCCATAGGCACCTGACAGTGATGACAGCTAGAAAACATTCACTTTCTCAATGACAAGACATTCTGTGGGGGAAGTGTGGCTCTGTTACTATATTTATGCACAAAATAGTTGTGCGAGCAGTGGCTGTCCCCTTGCACCATTTTTCTGTGTCTCCTAAAATAACCTCCCTCTGGCAGGGCCAGTGCAGCTCATGGAGGAAGCAGCTTTGAGGATGCATCTCAAACAAAATGGGGTCTTTAAACAAAGAGTGTGCCTCTGTGTGGAAAGCTCAGGGTGCCGCACTGCGGCAGGGGCTGAGGCACTACTGGTTGTCCACTGAGGCTCTTCTGGCACAGGGGGTGATGGAAGCAAGCTCAAGGCAGAGGTAAACTGAGTGAGGTGGCATCGTTACAGAAAATTGCAGCCCAGTTTTGTGCTGATGGCACCTCAGCCTCCTCATGGGATATGCCCAGAGTGTGCATCCTTACTTTTGATGGGTGTTTTGGAGACAAAAAGCAGTGGGAGGAAATGTGATGTGTCTTCTTCCATGGGTGCCATGCCTCTAAGTCCAAGCTGGAGCCTGCTAGGGGAGTTGCGAGGGGAAAATTTTAGTCTCCCCTCACACACAGAGATGCAAGGACCCATTCGGTAATGTACACAGCCCGGATCTTTTTGCCTGCACTTAAAATAACCATGTATTTGAAGAAGGAAAAAAACCCCAACAACCTCTCTTCTGTTAGGTCCTTCCTGCCTGTACCAAGGCCAAGAAGTACGGGCAGTATGGAGCTGTGGGCAGGTGGGCTCCTGCGGTGTCCCCCAGCCCTGGCACACTGCTGAACACCTGAGCAGCTGCCCGCCCTACGCATGTGAGAGAGAAACTTCTTACAATGGCACCTCAGGCTTCCGAGCAAACCTGCTGTGACTTCACTCTGAGGGAAATGCAAAAAAGGACAATTTATAATAGATATTTATTTATTTTGTTACACTATAATATTCCATTTTGTAGAAAAAATCTGTAAAGTATTTATTTGAGACTCTGTCTGTGGGGATCTGCATAATGAAACTCATGTTTTGTATTTTCTGGGGTTTTGAAAGTTATGTTTATTCCTTTCTGATACTTTAACATTGCAAGCTCAAAACTGGGTGGGGGACTGTCTGAAACAGGGCAGCATTTTGTAGGTGTGCTGGCCTGGGAGGTGTTGCTGTTGGGCCAAAGGAGACCCCCACCAGGAGCCAGGGTGCAGAAAACCTGGAGAGCAGCTTGGCACGCTGCTGTGAGCTTCAGGTGTTGAAGGTCTTGCTCCCCAGAGGGCACGAGAGATCAGGTCAAAACTGCAGCCGGCCTGAACTTGCAATCCAGGCATCAAGAGTGACTGGCTTCAAGCCAGGAGTCATCAGGCATAAGGAAGTTGCCAACTCCGACTTCCACCAACCTTTCCCAGAAAGTAACACAAAAGCAAAGGGCACATAGATGTTTCCTTCTTCTGTGGTTTCCACAGCCCCCTTCTTAATTTCACTAATCCATCACAGCTGCCTTGTATTTCCAGGCATCCCACCTGCCTGCAGGAGGAAGCAAGGAAATAAAAGGGCAGTTGGAGGGGCAGTAGGCTGCCTGGTGGATTTTGTGCATGTCATGGTGTAGTGGCAGGTGAGTGCAGTGGGAAGCAGGAGGCTGGTAGGAGCGAGGGGGTGGATGCTGCATGTTGGCAGATATACACCAGCGCAGGGCAGCAAGTGTTACCTATTGCTAAAATTCATTGCTTATAACCTGTAGGTCAGATCTGAGCAGTTCTCCTGTAATTCTCTGAATCCCACCCTATGCCCATGAAATTTTTCCATGGGTATAGACACAGGGAAGGTGAAATGAGCCCACCTGGCTGGTGTGGTCTTGTGGGCAGCAAGAAGACAGCCAGTGCAGGCTGTTTCCTCTCCTCCTGGCTTCCTGGAGCAAGTGCATGTCATCTGGTTTTTCCTCACCCATCTATTTCAAGTGTGCGTCCCAGATGAACCAGGCTGAGTTGTAGTCAAAAAGCTAAGTAACCTAAAACGAAAGCGAGTAGGTGAGTTGAGAATGAATAAACCCAGTCCTTGTCATAAAATGCTTTTTTAGGCTCCCTAACAGTAATAGTGCAGCTGGTGAGTGCGGGGAAAGGGGAACTGGCTGCAACCGTCACAATCAGGAATTTTTCTCCCGAGACCCATAATTGTCAAAGGAGGAAGCACATTTTGTCCAAGCTTTTCCGCCATTGCAGCTTAATTTCCTCTTCCTCTGTGAGGGAAGGGGCCGGGGGAGAAGCAGGTTTTCCTCTGGGTCGGTGGTTTGTGGGGGGCAGGGTGTGGGCGAGAGGGCAGGGCTCAGCCCCTGGCACTCCTCCTGAACAGGCTGTGCAGCGTCAGCCCTCGCCACTCAGCAGGGTCCGCACTTGCGCTTCAGGGGGGTTTTGGAGAGGGGTTTTTTTGAGTTTTAGAAAAGGTTTCCACTAATGTTTAAACTAACGGGTCTTTTTTTAAAAAAGATAAATGAGTCTCTGGCAGAAACAGGGAGTCTGGACACAGGTAATGAAAAGGATTTTCAGAGGCAAGAGAGAAAGGCACGAAGCTGGCAAGAAACCTTTATAAACCCAGGAAGACTGCAGAGATTACCTATTATTATTATTTTCTACAAGCTGATCAACTGGAGTGGAGGAAAGCAGGGTTTGGAGTCATGAAAGTATCTGTTTATGTGCGGGATTGTAATTTCTTTTACTATTTAGCTGAATGTTGAATTGTGAAAAGATTTTGTAGGTTTCTGCTTACGAGCACGATAGGACTAGAGCCTGAGTGAAAGAGGAGAATGTGGTAGCTTACAAGCAAAATGCTGTACATAAAAGGAAGATGCTATCGATTTATGTCTTTCATAGTATCAGAATCAGAACAGCAAATGACATCCAAAAAAAGAACACTTAAAACCAACACATGTATTTGCCTTCATGCTATACAAAGCCAGCTACTAAAATGCAATGCCATAAAATGCTATATGCTAGTGCTGTGGAGTTTGGCTTCATGTAGCAATGAAATGAATGTAAGCATACAGACTACGTATAATTAACTGGCTGTTAGCTGGGAAAAAAAGAGTATGAAATAGATAAAAAACCCCAACTTTTCAGTGAACAAACAAGCGCGTGACTGAGGGGATCAGAAGTTTTTACTGTGGGTGAATAACATCCTAACTGCTGTTCTGAGGTTTCTTTGATTATCTTGTGCTTGTCTGTCCAGCTATCTCTGTTAACAATTTGGCAGTAATTCTTTGGAGGTTGCATTTCAGATGGGTTTATACAGATACTTAGTATTTATTTTAATATAGTATCTAGGCTATGAAATGTTGCAAATTTTGAATAGGTGTTGAGTAGTAAAAATAAAACTGGTAAAAAATTAACGTGGAATGGACTGCTCTACCTTGCTGCTTCAATATGAGTGATATGAAGCAGGTTAACTTTGTAAGTAAATGGAAGCAGAGCATATTTTCAAATTTTACTCTACAGGAACGTTCTGAGCTACTATTGCCACCACCAAAAAAAAAAAAAAAAAAAAAAAAAAAAAAAAAAAAAAAAAAAAAAAAAACCCAACACCCAAAAAACCCCAAAAACCCCAAAAGCGCAAAAAGCCTAGGTTTTTACCTGTCTCGTGGCTGGGCAGTTGTTGGTCTGACCCAACCCTGCCTTCAGCCACCTCCTGTCACTGCAACTTGTCCAGCCCAGGGCAACAGTGGTGTGGATGCAGGGCATCATTTTTCCTAACAGATGGAAAGAGGACAAGTGGGAATGCCACCCTCCTGCTTGCCTCTTACCTGGGTAAAACTGGCTCTGGGTAATGTGTTTTCTCTCTGCAAAGCAGATGGGATTATTTAACCTGCACCTCAAGGCTCTGGGATCCTTTGATCTTGACCTTAGCCAGCTTGGGTTAAGGTTTTAACTCACGTAGGACCTTAACTGTGTATTTTGTATTTATATATATTGGTATATAATAAAGGGTCCTCAGGCTGTATAAAATGTCCAGGTTCCTGTTTTGGCATGCCAGGCTGTTTCAGAGATGTACTGTGTTGGTATTTTTCTCTTCCTGGGTACTGGGTTCACAGCTCTAAGAGAGCAGTAAGGTGTAAAGGAATCACCCCAGAAGCTCTGGCTGAAGATGTGACTTTGAAATGTAGCTGAAATGCTGCCCTTAGACGTTTCACAAATCACTGGCTGAAATAGGAAAAATATTCTTTTTCTGAAACCACTGCTGGCAGAGGCATGGGACTAAATCCACACAGTGAAAAGGAACTTTGTTTTGGTGATAGAAGATTGAAAGCATCATTCATCATTTCTCTGTTGTGTGACCCTGGGGGAATGATTCATCTACTAAATACCACACCAGTAAATTTTCTTCTGAACTCAGACATGGAAGAAAACGTAACCTATTGTTTTTCATTCAGTTTTCAGCACTGAGCCCCTGCAAATCGGCTGAAATAAGAGAATTGCACTAATTGAGTGCATTTTTCTCTTTCATAAATGAGACTATCGAACCAGGCAGATAAAAATCAAGCATATTTTTGCTTTCACTCTTGGTATACCAGAAATTACTCATATTTTGGAAGCCATACAAAGGGCCTTCTTATGTCTCTGCTGCTTTCATCTTTGCTCATAAAAAGCTGTGTGTGAAAGGAGCTCTGAACTCTTGTCCAAGCTGTTTGTGGATGGATTCTGTTGTAGTCTACTCAGCTTTGAAAAAAGCCACCTGAAATTTCTGGGAAGCCTGAGGGAATCTTCAGTCTAAGACCCATACACAATACAAACAGAGTTTTGACTTCCCTAACTTGTCAGAAGCTGCAGTCCTTAACCACCCGAAGGAAAAGGGAAGAAAAGGCAGCTTGTCTAGTAGAAGAGCACTTGAAATTGTACATGAGAGACTAAGATGCAATGAAAAGCTTGCAGAAAAAAACCCTACACTTTTAGACTAAAAAATAGAGATTTTTTTTCAATCAGAATATTTTATTTGATATTATCCTTCAAATAAATCACAGCATGTCCAGCGTCTCATCATAAATGCCCAGGGTTACATTTTAGGCTTAAAGAAACCAATTTGCCTTCAGCCTTCCGTGTCTACAGGAATGTAGCTATTTTCATAAGTGAGATCGTGGTGGGGTTTTAGCTGCCCATCAGCTGAATAAAAAGAAATATCTTTGTTTGCTACAAATTTTTCTCTAAATACCAGAACCTATACACAAAGAGGACAAAAGGGGAATGTCCTAGTATAGTTTTCTGAAGATCTTTGCCTATCTACTTCAGAACATTTTAATTTTAAGGGTATTTAAATGTAGGCTGTCTCCTTTCTAGAAAGGATTTATTAACGGAAGCAAGGTGTCGATTCCCTACTCAAGGCTTCAGTATTTATCTATGTATATAACATCAACATTTCTTTCTGGAAATCTTTATTGTAAAGATTTCTGACCACGTCAAGACAATTGGAAAGCATTACTCAGTCTAGCTCAGGCTGCACGGGGAAACCAAGACCTCGCTGTATGACCAACAGAAAGCCCTGCAGGTTCCTCTGGGGTGGAAACCTTCTGACTAGGATGCAAAAGAAGGGGGGCTGAATCCTGAGTCATGGGTAATAACATCCCAGCCCAAAGGGGTGCGTGATGCACCAGGCTCTCCAGTGGGCTCTGGCCCAGCAGAAGGAACGTGTGGTCATTGTGCAGTTTTAACTCTTCTAGTCTCAGGTTTGTGACACTGTATCATTCTGCTGTGAAACTAGCAGACATGGATTTGGAGGCCAACTTGGAAAAGCTGAAGCCAGAAGCCATCAGGAAACAGCACTAGTCATCGTTAGTGGGACAGATGTTTTTCCTGAAAGGTGATTGAGACGGTCTGGGGACCCCCTACTTGATTCTCTACAGTTTCCTTTATTCCCTTAGCACATTTCTTCTTCCTTTGCTCTTTTTCTGGTCCATGGGATCCAGACCTGATGTTGTAGTATCAACCAGTGCAACACCTCTGCCGCAAACAACAAAGTTTGTCCTTTGCTTTGCTGTTACTTGACCCAGCCACGTAGTTTGCCTCTCCTGGCCTGTTCAAGGTTGTTTCTTCTCCCTGATGTTATTCCATCTCATCACACCTTTGAAGATGCTGTCCTCTTGCCTGGATCACCCCTCCCCTGCTGGCCACCCCTTGCCCTTCTCCACCCATGGTTTTCACAGGGCTAAGCTGGGAAGTGGGAGTTAGGGAGGAAAGAGGGAAGGAGAGGGGACCAGGGCAAAAGGGCACATGCAGAGCCCGAGGGCAGGGGAAGGGGCTCTAGGTGGAGCCAAATGGGGGAATGATTTCCCCAGGAAATCTTTCAGGATGGCAATTTTTTAGAAAACAAGTCCTTAGGACTTGGCTGCTTCCAGGAGAAACGCTTCTCACAAGATTAGCTTTGCAACAAGAATGTTATCTGGGATCCATACTGCTCTATGGCCTCTCACTTCTGCAGGGCATTAGCAGACTAATTGGCTTGAGAAGTTTGGCCAGTTTGACAACCAAGCCACAGAGAAGATGTGCGAAGAGCTTGGGAAAAGGAATTTGAGGAGTGCTTGGAAAGCTTACCACTTAAGTGCATGAGCAAGTGTCCTGTTTTGCAGAGTTAATTAGTGATGGACGGTCTCTTTTTGCCCCTCGGTTGGTGCCGGCTGGTATATGGCCTGAGAATGGCTACGGGTAATGCAGCCAGGGAAGGAGAGGGCTGGGCACAGTGGGAGCTGATGCTGTGGGAGGGAGGCGGCACTGGGTATCGCACTCCACATTCCCCAGTCGGTTTCTGATCAAAAGTATAAAATCCCCATAACTTCCTAACTGAAGCAAACATTCAACCAACAGGAAACGAGGGGGGTAAACCCTTTCAGTGATTATCTGCTCTCAGAGTGTCTGCATGGCATTTGCCAGGCTGATGTCTGCCCCTTTTGGCTCAGCAGTCAACGTGTCTGGGCTTGCAGCCAGGAGTGAGCCAACATTTCCTTTCATACTCGCCCTTTTGTCTACAGGCTGTGCCCAGGAGCAGGGTGCCCCTTGGCCTCCAGCAGAACTGAGAACGAGAAATATAGATCAACAGAAAGCAGGAGAAAATACAGTGCTATAAAACTGATGAACTGTCTTTCTCTTTACTAGTAATTCTTCTCTTTGGCATCAGTGTAAATAGCAAAACTAAAGCCTGAAAAAGAGTGGCCCCAGAAAGTCATCTTCTCAATTTAATCCTAGGGCAGTTCTGCAGACTTAATTTTTTTTTTTCCTCAGAAAATAAGAATTAATTAATTAAGGTCAGACTCTCCAGCACTTACAGTCCAAACATGCTGCTTTATTTGAAAAGTTGAAAGCATTGAGGTCTGGCTTGGACAAGCAGTCCTCTAGGATAGTTCTTTTTAAAAAACTAACCATATCTTCTAGGGCATTTGATAAATGCCTGAAAAAAAAACCAGCCAGTTTCTTTTTGTGTACAAAGTTCAGGAACTACATAAAGTAAAAGTTGGGGAGGAAGGATGTGGGAAACAATGAGAGGTTGAACAGATTCCTTTTTGATAATCTGACCTGTTACCAGGACCTTTTAGAGGTGCAAGTGCCATTTTTGTATGTTATTATTTTGTATGTGAGCGGGTGGGGTATGTTTTGCCCCACAGCGTGCAGTTGGACAGTAGAATCCTTGCCCGGGTAAAAAAAACAGAGATTCAAAGGGTAAAGGCTGTTGCTGTAATAAAAATACTCGAGCCCATTTTGCTGCCTGGATAATGAAGAGTTTCTAGAAGGGGAGAAATGATTTAATGATTTTAATGAATTTAAGATGATTGCACCAACCTCCCCTCTCACATAGGAAAGGAACTGAAGATATACCTCCACAAAACTCTTTACGCATGTGACCCTCTACTGGTGCCTGCACCTGGGTCTGCTTTCCCATCTCCAACTGGGCTCTTGGGACCAATGAGAGAGGAGCAGATCTGCTCTGTCTACTGTATCTTGGGTGCAAGATCCACATTGCAGTGATATTTGTGTTGGTTGCTTCGCATTAGCTAGGGCTGGGTGTTTGCTTGGGGCAGTGAGCTCGCGTTCCCCATGCGGTTGCCCAGGTGCATTGAGCGTATTCACCTCCACTTGCTCTTTGGTCCTCCTAACCCAGGAAAGTCCCTATGTGATTTCCACAGCATTATCTGCATCCTCTCTTGTCCTTGCCCTCCCTTTCTTGTCTCGAGTTGCTTCTGCAAGAATCTCTGATGCTTGTTTTTGTTAAGGTTTTTTGGTTTGTCAATAAAGCGCCTGAATTTGGTTGGCAATCCTGACCCTAGGAAAGGGGACATAAGTGAGCTGCCATGGCTTTCTCTACTACATGCCAGAGAGTTTGCTGTGGAGCATCACTTGGCAGGCCCCTGGGGGCTTGCTCCAAGTCACAGAGAAGTGGGTCCCAAATACTCCTGCCTGGCTGCTCCCCTGGGGTAAAGCAGCCCCTTCTGCCCAGAGCAGAAGTCTGGGAAAGAGGAGACTGAGATGGGAGCCGGCATCAGAAAAAGGAGATGATAGAGCCAGGGAAGGGGAGAGAAGCTGAAAATCCCCGAGGGACCCTGTGGAAAGGCTCTGATGTGGTGGTGCGTGCTGGTTTCACTTCCCTGCTCTTTGCCTGCAGTGTAGGCTGGTGCTGTGAGGCCCAATGAGAGGCTGGATGGAGCCCCTTCCCCTAATGGAGGTGCCAGGAGGGATGTTCTGGACTCCATCTCACCTTTTTATTAATTAATCTACAAGGTTGGGGGGGGGGATGTAAATCCATGGAAAACTGCAAGAAATCTAAAACATTATGCTGCCCCTCCTGATGGAGGGAAGAGTTAAATTCCTAAATAGCAGAGATGAACACAAACAGAATGTGTATGGTATTTGCTTCTCATATTTTCCTGTAAAAGAGCCTTCTCCCTTTCTTACAGAAAAACCCAGAAAAAATGTATAGACTATGGTGGGTATCCTTCTGTAAATACAGCTAGAAACTTCATATGGTGCTTAATCTCACCGCTGGATTACCATGTGGCCAGGAGCTGTGCTGTGTTGTTCTACAGTGAAACCCTTGGGCACAAGACCTCGCCCCTGAGCCCAGGAGCACTGTCGCATCCCTGGCTTTCCCCTTGTGGAATCACATGAGATGCAAACACATTTGGGGTGGAGAGACTTCAGCCAAACCTGCCTTCTGTAGAGACTCTTTTCATAATCCAATTTGTCGTTTTGGTGTGCTTGTGGGTTGGGGCGAAGCAGTGGCATCTGCAGGTGTCTCCACACTGCTCTCTTGGTGGAGAATCATCTCCTGTTCTTGCTTGTGAGTCATCTGTGCCAGACCTGGGGGAGGAAAGTGGCCTCCCCGAGGAGCCCGGGATCAGTGCTCAGCAAGCTGCAGAGGCGGTGATCCACAGGCAGTGCCTCCCTGCCTACCTTCCCTTCCCTGCCGAAGAGAAAGGGAGCGGTGGCTGCCGGGGTCTGTGATCCCTCATTTCTTCCCTCTCCACCAGCCACCACCTGCGCTTACCAGGAAGACTCCACATTTACACTTTGCGAGGTGCAAGTCCTTCTGATGGCACTTGTAGCGGAGCTCAGCAGCATGGGGCTAACAAGGGGTAACACCAAGCTTTGCTGCTGGGAAAAAGAAAAAAGGGTGGTAGTACTGTTTATTTCCAGCTCTGGCATCCAGTGCAGTCAGTGGGGGACAAAGTCATGCTGCTAACCCGCAGCCAGTTTGCCGGGATTAATGATTGACCAGGCTCCTGGGAGGAAATGAGGGGACAGTTCCCGCCTGGCTGGCCGCTCCCTGCCAACCTTGCCACCACGGCTCTGCTGATTGGCCTCTGAGAAGTGCTTTGAAAAAAGGCACAAAATCTTCAACCGTCCCCCTCGGCATGCCAGACACTCTGAGGGATGCAGGGAAAGGGGGCAAGCTTTTCTAGGCAATTGCTCTGTCCCACGATGCTTTTCCCCCTGCTTTGCTGGGCTGAAATCTGCCTGCTGCTGCTCTGCGGGGGCTGCCAGCTGGAGGAGCCGGTGATGGGTGAGTGGAGCGTCCTTTCCCCGCACAAGGTTGATTCCAGAGCAGCACCAGCCTTTTTTGGCAAGCAAAGAGACCCAGATGCCGTCCTGACTGATACTCATTGGTAACTGGAACAGTAGCTAGTAATCTGGGGGTTGGTCAGCAGCAAAATCAGGAAATGCAGGTCAGAGAGGGCACAGGGCAGTTTGTCTTTGCACTCAAGTTGTATCTTCAGCCTGTATATTCCCTTTCTTTGTAAGTGTTGCTAAGCTCCTCAGCACAAGGGGTGGAGCAGGTTTGCATTTCCAATGCACATGTCTGGGCGGCGCACGCTTCTGTTGGGAGAGGCTGGGGCAGGGGGACATCTCTCTGCAGCCATTTGCACTGCCCCCCAGCCCTCCTGGGCTGCTCTGCCTCCCCCCGCACCCTTGCAGGTGCCGGCGAGAGGGGAGCAGGGATATTCTCAGGAGCGAGAGCTGCTTTCGCTGGGTGGTTGCTGTGTGTCAGGTCTGTAGAGGACACCTCTGAGCTCCTGGGGACAAAAGCAAGCTAAGAGTAACACACTGGGAAGAAGCAGGCAGATGAGCCTGTGGATTGAGTTTGCTGTGCTTGCTAAAGAGCCTGCCTGCCCTCTGTTCCCATGCCGCCTTCCTCCTCACCATGGGAAATGTACAGCATAGGCTAATGGCTCTGGCTCTCATGGCCACGCGTGAGACCAAGGTGTCTGAAGCCTCCCAGTGTGCCACACGGCCTCGTGGTGGAGTTCCTTGTTCCAGTGCTCTGCAAGATGGGAACACCGTGACTGGATACTTCAAGGCACTATAGCCTTCCCCGAGTGAATTCTTCTCCTCTTGCTCTGATTTTGGGGTTTGCTTTGTTCCTAGGTTTGAAGGAAGCTGTGAAATCTGATAGCATTGTTGCAGCAGCCCTTGGTGGAGAGGCAAACTTCTATTGCAACCTCTCGCTCTCGATGGATGTTTTGCAAGTCACCTGGCAGAAGAAAAATGGGTCTTCCTTCCAGAACATAGCCACCTACAGCCCATACCATGGGCTGAGGCTGATAGGGTCATTTCAGAAGAAGGTGCGTTTCACTAGAGCAACCCTGAAGGCCTCAGCTATCACACTCCAAAATCTCACGTTCGAGGATGAGTCCTGTTACAGATGCATTTTCAATGTGTTCCCGCATGGCTCTTTCAGCAAAGATATATGCCTCAACATCCAAAGTAAGTTTTCCACTAATACCTTCTCACCTTCTGGCACTCAGCACAGGTCTGATGCAGTCAGGAGGTGGGTAAGGCATTATCCTCTCCACCGCATGGTGACTTTCCATGCAGCAGTATCTCCTTGGTGGATAGTCTCCAGAATTGCCACACCTCTCCTCAGAGCAAGTGAAGGTAAATAAGCCAGGAGGTGCTTTCGGATAAGAACCCACGTACAGAGAGGTGACCTGTCCAACTTTGACTATAAACTCGCCACAGAGTGTAAAAAGTACCTTCTCTTTTTGCTCTCAGCAATTTCTGAGCTAACAGTGGAATATGATTCCCACCTGCCCACTGAGGGTCTCCTCACCGCAGTTTGCTCAGCAACAGGAAAGCCTGCCCCCAAAATCACCTGGCTGGATGACAGGGACCTGGATGAGTCCTCTGAGATACACCAGATCCAAAACGCAAATGGAACAGTAACGGTGGCAAACAGACTTACCTTCTCTGCCAACCGCCTCCATGCCTTGACCTGCCTCCTTGACCACCCACAGGGAAGGAAAATGAAGGCAGTTTACCTGGAAAAAGGAAGGGAAGGTAGGCTGCGTTTGTATGGAGACATGCCGCATGTGGTGGGGAGCACTTGGGAAAGGATGTGCAATTGTGGGAGTGCAGCTTGTACTTACATAGGTCTCGTTAGACATTTTCTGGGAGTTCAGACCTCATGTTAAATGAAGATTTCATGATTTGAAACCACCCAGAAGACTCCTCCCTGTGGTACCTTTGTGTCTGTGTGGTGGGGGTGTGTATATGTATATATCTCTAATAAATATGTAGGTTTGTGTGTACATATGTATATATGTCTGTTTATATTTCTACATAATCACTAATTTAGAGCAGATGTGATCAGCTCTCCAGCAGTATCCACAGCTGGAGGGTACCAGCAGAGCAGGCTACTGTCTGTCGAATACTGGGGAACAACATTTCACGTGGAAGATCTTGCAGGAGGGTATGTCTCAGGAAGGATGGGAGACTTTCCAAGAAACAGAAGCATGAATAGATCAGGAGTAAAAATCCTGGGTTTTGGTTTCCCCAATACCAAGGAAATGTGATACATTATCAGTATTTTTTAAAAAATAAAATAATTCCTCACCTACCACAGTGTTACGTTGTTACACTGTTTCTTTCACTTCTTCAAAGAATAAATGAGCACAAACTGATGAATGTTTCACTTTAGTCCCAACCTCTGGAAGAAGAGGAGAAACATGTTGACATCCCTCTATGTTCTGTGTGAACTTACTGGTTTCTTTTTGTAGGTGTTCAGAAGAGCAGAATCATCGTGGTGGTCTTAATAGCTGTGGTGTTCTTAACAATCTTGATACGCTGTGTCATGAGACTGATCAACAGAAAAAGGAAAAAGTAAGAATAATTTCCATTTTCTTGCAAATGACATGGCTTGCCTGTGTTGACCTTGCAATTTGCCTTTCTGTTTCCTCTTGGTGTTTTTGTATACCTGCCCTGGAAACTTACCCAGGTGGTAACAGCATCTTTGAAATAGCAAGATTCACTCTAAATTCCAGGAGGTTTCTAAGCGTTGTTTGACTAGTTTGTGTTTTTTTCAGACTGAAGAGACATAGTGCACCCAGAATACCTGCAAAGGAGAAAGGCTTACACCGAGACCTAAGCGAGAAAGCCGTGAGCATGCACAAGCCAAAGGACCAGCACATTGTTTATCAAAACGAGGTAATGCGAGTGTTCAGGGCTTCCAGTAGTTATTCACATCCTTTGAAAGCCTTGGCAACACTTACCAGGAATGTGACAAAACCCTTCCATCAAGAGCTGGGGTCCACTCTTGCTGCCATGTCTTTGCTGCATGGGACAGCCACACCAGATAGATGACACCATATGTGCCCCATCTAACCTCTAGCAATGCTGGGGAAGGCCTGGAGCATGAAGGAGAAAAGTTAGTCAACAGTTAGGTGGAAAGGCATGGAAGAGGTACTGGAAATGCTCAGGAGGGCAGATGGGATGTCCCTTCTGGACAAAGGCAAGGGAGCGCAGCACAGCTCAGGTGCTGTAACCAGCAGCCTCACACAGAAGTTTTCCCAGAAAAGTCTGCCCTGCCCTGTTGATCACGCAGGCTTGAAGGTGCTCTGGAGGGCTGGTGGCATCCACAGACAAAACCAGTAAGTGACCACAGCTGGGAGTCACCCCCACTAGCCGCTTTTCTCTGACCTCCCACAGGTTCCCTGTTTTCCTTGCAAGCTCTTGCTAGTCCTGTGCTGTGAATGAGAGCCCCCTTGTCTTCTTGTCACTTTTCTTTGCCAGATAACATAGAACTTTGTCGTGGTTACTACACCATTGTGCTGGGTCTCTTGCAGGAGCAGTCACCAGGCTCCTCACTTCACAAAAGGCTACCAGGTCTGAAGAGAAACCTGACAGAAAAAAAAAATTGCAGGCGCTTGTTTTCAGAGGAAGTGGAGAACCTGAACAGCAATGTCCACAGCGTGTTTGAGAGGGCACCTCTTGGGTTATGTGTCAAGGAGCTCGACTGCACGCCCATGAAGGAGGACAGAGGGGCAACGGCAGATGGGGGAGTCCAAATAACACCCCACCCCGGCTGCTCCCCAGCACAGGAAGGAGAGACATCAGCCCACTAAAGGCTGTCTCCACAAGCCCAGAGGAGCACAGGGGCCCAAGGGCAGGTGGGGAGTCCAAACTAAGGACTCAGAAAAAGGGACACTTTGCCCAGGCCCCTCCCAGGGATGTCCCAGGAGATTCTCAGCCCCAGAGTTCGGGTGTGAAACCTATCCACATGACTCATCAGTGGAACACCTTTTGAACTGAGGGGGGGTCACTGCCTAAAGGGGTATGGACACATGGTGGGATGCAGGGGAAGATCATTTTGGGATTGCACAGGACTTATTATGGGATGCTTAGGGGAGGCACCAAAGGTGAGAAAGGGAGGAATCAAGGGGAATTGGGAATGAAAAAGCTTGGGAAAATAGAGGGATAAAGGGGTAAAAGGGTCTCATTGCATGTACACAGGAGGCTGGTCAGTACACTTGTCTGGTCATGCCGAGTGCCTGGTCACCATGGTCTGTCCTGTCTTCTCATTAAACTCCATTTCGAACTCTTTTCCTGGGTGAGGGACTCCCTAGCCGGTGTGCAGGTGTGTATGGGGGCCTGGTGCCAGCAGCTGGGCCGGGACCACGGGCCAGCGGGCATGTGTGCCTGGGTATCAGCTACTGGAGATACCTGAGTGAGAGAAACCAAGTGCCAGTTACCAGGACGGACCAGGGTCAGAACCTGTGTGTCCCTGGTGCAGCACCTGGAGTGAGCACGGGTGAGCATGTGAGCGCCAGCAAGGGTCAAGCCAGACAAGTCAGTGAGTAGGTGACGTGTCCTGGGACACCCTTTGACATTTCACGAGTAATCAGGCAGGAGTATCTGTGCTGCAGATGCAGCGAGACCTGCGGAACTGTACCGAGATCGGTATTTTGAAAAAAGTTATGTTTTTAAGGGCTTGAGCTGGAAAGCTTCCCCTCCAGCTCTCTGTATCACTACACAAGGTGTGTTAGAAATGTCCCTCCACTGTATTTGCAAAGGCTCTTCTGACAGCTTGTGTCATGGTGCAGCCTCAGCGCAGAGCACTTTCTTTTGTAATAGCGGAGTACCCTCTAGTGGGAGAGATCACGAATGAACGTGAAAACACCTCCAGTGAGTCTTCCATTAAAATAGCGACTCACTAATGCTATTTTTTTCTCTTTGGACTTTCAAATAGTCTTTTGGTATCCAGCAAGCCTATCCCAGGTATCAAGAAATTACAACCACTGTATCCAAAGACATTCAGGAGCAACACAACGAAATTACTTTGAGGGTTGTCCTGCGGTGGACGCTGACTGTGGTCACTGGAAGTGAAGGTATTGAAAGGAACTGACAGAAGGAACTGGGCATTTGGTTTCAGTCCTGCCTTGCTCTCCTGGAGAAAGAGCTCTTGCAAAGGACCAGGGAAGGAAACATGGAAATGTTCCCAAGCCTGTTCTCCAAGCTGCCAGGCTAGCCTGCGATGGATAAAAGAAGGTGTGCTAGAGAAGTGGGAATGGCAGGCATTTGGTAGTACCTGGGAAGGTATCTAGGCTACCCAATTCCCTCTGACAAGTTCTGCCCAGGGTTGCCTCCTGAGAGAGCTGAATTTTCTGCAGCTGGGCTTCTTGGTCAATGGACTTTTAGAAAACAATCTCGGGCTTCTTGACGAAGGGACCTTTAGAAGTCAATCTCGAGTGATGTTTTATCCAAGAGTTGCTCAGCATTTGAAGGACAACTGTTCCCTGCATTCTGAAAATCATGTGCTGCTTGCCTTGAAGCTTGTCATGCCACATGCATGTAGGTTACAATGGGGGGCTTCAACCTGGCATTCCTCGAGTGAGAGTTTTCTGAGATTAAATGCTCATTAATTTTTTTTTTCAGAGAAATTATCTGTGGGTTTTTTCCATGGTAGTCATGGACACATATGTGACTTTCAATTGTGGCTGTGATTGGAAGCCATCAATATATGTGTATAAACACAACAACAAAAGAAGAGGTGAGTGAGTTTAACAACTGCTTTTCAAAGATAACTTTTTCCCAGGAAATGGAAATTGTAAAGAGAAATGTGCAGGCTCAGTGCTGTGAGATAGTGACCAGTGGTACTCCAGCTGAGTGGTTCAGAGCCTGCTGAAGGAGGGGGAGAGGAATGGCCTCACCCCTGTACTTCTGGCAGCAAGTACATGATTTATCCTCGGTGCAAAAGGGTAGTTTTTCCATAAGTAAAAAGTTAGCTTTGGTGATTGAAAAGGAAAAATGAAAATACGATGAAATGCACACCAAGGACTCAGAAAACAAATAGGCAGAAAAAGCCTCAATTTTTCCAGAATGTCTCACTTGAGGGCTTTTTAAAACAGCCCAGTACTGGATTTTTACAGGGCAGATGACCTGTTTTTCACTGCTCTTCAGTGGGAGTTTAGAAGTGCTCTTTGATTCTTCCTGATGAAATGGAATTAATTGTTTCTTTCAGTCCTAGTAACTGTGGTGTTTCCTTTCAGAAGGAAAAACATTACCAATTTTAGAAGCAAAGCAAAACAAAAAGCTGAGACCAAAGCTGTCCCAAAGCCAGCCTCACTAACAAGACCCAGATAACATGCCCAAGCTTGCTTTCTTTTTAGTGTGCCTGTCCCAAGAGCTGAAGGAGGCTCTGTGGGACGGCAGAAATTAATATAAAAAATTGTAATGACTGTCTCACCTTTCTTTTATGGAATATCCTTCCTTCCTGACTATCAACCTGATTTTCTCCCAGTTACTCATCCCTAGGAAACTAGGATTTGCATTGTCTGGGGTGCAAGTGTATTTGTTAGTCTGTGTAATATGCAGCACACTTCTGAGAGGGTCCGCACAAACAGTGGTATCCACAGCCCCTGGCTGCCAGGATGCTCAGCCCTCATGCAAAGAAAAGGCACACAAATGAAGATCAGTGGGAGAAAGGTGAACGGTCATCAACACAAAAAGACCAACAAGTTTCACTGGGAAGTGAGAGAAGGGAAGAGAATGTGAGCTTGCAAAGTTTAAATTCAGGTGTCTTCCATTTTACACAGCTATTCTAGAGGTGGAAAGCAAAGCAAAATGTAGAACGTATCCAGCCCTTTCTTGCCATGTAAAGGGACCCCAGAACTTTTCTGTGGTTTTATCCCCACCCACATGGTTAACTTCCTCTGCTGGGAAACGGTGCAGTTTGCGCTGGAGAAATTGGTAGGATCTCAAATTGTAAACCATGTAGCATTTGCTTGTTTTATAGAAGTAATTTTGAGAGAGAGAAAAGATGTGGTTTGTCCATGGTCATATGGTTGAGTCACTAGCAAAATGACAGCTGATGGCAGATCCTCTGGACCAGGCTGGACCTCCTAGTAGACCTATCTGAGCATTCATGACTTGAGGAAACATTGCTTGAATATGATGATTAAGGGGGATATGATAATTTATATGAGCAGAGCCAGAAGGGAGTTGAATCAGCAGACCCTAACAGTTCTGATGTAAGCCTCCAGGCGGCAACACGCCCTGTAAAACTTAGTGGGTTTGGTTTTACTGGAATCTGTGTCACTGACTCCAGGCATCCTCTAACACTCTTTTTTTCTTTCCATGTTAAATAATGGCAACTGGCATCACCTGTATCATATTCTTTTCCTTAAACCTGTACAAGTTTCACTGGTTACTGGCTCAAATGGTTCTGCTTAAAAGAGGTCATTAGTCCAGAAATCAAGGGAAGAACCAAGAAATATATTAACAGCAGAGTGTGTCCACCCATAAGGCAGAGGAAAGAATAAAGAACAGACATCATTCGTGACAGAAGGGATTTCAGATTGCCTCTTCCACCAGCAGGCAGGGTGTATTGCAGGTGAAGAAATAAAAGGAGAGGAACAAAGAAGTCTCTGGATTTTAGGACAAGAGGTCTCTACTTACGCTCTTTCTCACTAACTTTACAGGCTTTGCCACGCCAGAGAGTCAGTGTCAGCTCGGCCACCACCAGCTCCAGAGAAGGTGATGTACAAAGAACTTTGCTGAGCTGAGCCAGGTCCTTGTAAAAAGAAATGGTTGACGTGAGAGCACAGAATAGGGCAGAAAGGGATTTTTGTGTCTTGTTCTTCTATGAGTATAAAAAGAGTTTTAATTTTCTGCCATTGCTGGTCTGCCTGGAGTACTTTCCATTCGCCTCTGTCCGCCCTGAGGTTACCTCTGGTCTTCATCTACTACTTCAGAGCTATCCTTTCCTTCCTCAGCTCTAGTTTCCTTCCTCTCTTCCAAAGAAGCAGCCCTCTTACTTTCCAGACCCTTTCATCATTTTCTTGTTTCTTCTTTAAGTTTCCCCAGCCCATTGAAGGAGCAGTAAAATTTGGATAAATATAGAACTTTCCGCCTCAGTAGACGTGAGTTACAGGGCGAGCTAATATAACGTATCACTCAAGTCCCCCAAATGTCCCCTTTATTTTCATGAAATAAGGGCAGGAAGATGTCCCTGGGACTTCCCTGCTTTTGTCATTTTGATGGTACAGGGCATTTCTGGATAAATTTATTTTGTGTAGTCCGCAGTTCTCTGGAGTTCTCTCTGAAATCCCCTCAACTATAGTGAAGGCAGGTGAGCACAGAAGACTTGCTAACACATTTTTTTAATAAAAAGAAAAATGTGTGAAGGGTGTAGGTATGTCAGCCTCAAACAACAAGTAGTAAGTTAGTTGCTGGAGACCTGACCTGCTTTAGAGGGAACCCACTCTCTACTCGGAACAAAAAGGGGAAGGCTGGCAGAGGGAAGTTTAGGTGACTCGAGACCTACTCATTGGTCCGAGGAGATAGAAGAAAATGTTGAAAAAAGGTAGTGGTGGAGCTTGGGCTTTGGTTTGTTATTTGGCAGAGGAAGGGCTCCACTAAATCGAGCACAGTGGTGGAGAAGATGTCTCCAAGGACAGCTGTATCCAGCTGGAAGAGCCACTGCCCTGGCCCCCAGCCTCCAGCAACAGGTTAGACCTGATCTGGCGGGGCAGTGGGGGCTTTCTTTTTTCGCAGGTCAAAAGGCACTGCTTTGTGCACTGAGGTACTGAGAGCAGCAAAACAGGCATGGTTAACACTTGGGTGAGCCTGAGATGACCCAGGAAAGGTGCAAATACCACCCTGTTCCTTAGGACAGTTTAGTAGCAGTGCTCCAAATATTCCCACACATCTGTGTCTTAAATAAGAAAGGGTTTCTGGTTTTACGTGGGCTCCTGGCCACTATGTGGGCATCTTTGTCAATTTTTTGGCAGGGGCTTGAAATTGTGCCAACTCTGATATCTTTCCCATGAGCAGTGATGTTTTAAAACAGAAGACCTTGTAGGGCCTTGCAAGAGAAATATTACGATTGGTATGAATGACATGTGGACACACGCGTGCGCACATGTGTGTGTGTGTTAGAAAGCAGCTGAAGAAACAGCAAACACTGAATGCCCTGTATTTATTGCAAAGGATGCTGTTTCTAATTAATTGAGAAATGGGTTGTTTCTGTCAAGTCTGATAAAACTACAACAGAGACAACTTTTCAGTGTAAGATCCTGTCGCCTAACAATGGGAAGATGGCAGGGAGATTGCCCTGTATCAGTTGTGCTGCCCCTTTTCCTCCCAGCCCAACAGGAAGGTAGCAGCGAAAGCAAAGGACCACTCCCAATGATATAAAAGACATACTCAAAATCAGTTTCTCTTCACCAATAAAGAGAAGCCCAGAAGATCCTGGCCAGACCGTTTGAACATCTACAGCTTGTGAGTATGAAACTGGGCATAAAATCAACTTGCCTAGAGATTTCATATAATGAAATGACCTTCCCTTTCCATAAGATCTTCTATTGATTTTTTTTTTTCTTTTACACTAATTTCCCTCAGCCTAACATCAGGAAAAAGGGTGGGTTTTGTTTAGCTGGACTGAGGATCCAGAAAAAAGGCAGAGCCTTGATCTAGTACTCAGAATGTTATTGCTGACTATTGCCAGGCTGGTGACCTGTTATCAGGAAGTTCAGGTGTATGCTGCTGATTTTCACAAGCAGCGCGATCGTCCGTCCCGGAGAGCTGTTGGAACTAACTCTGTGCTTACAGCCTTCTCTGACTGAGACCTCGCTGCTTCTCAGGGTTTGCCGCACTCTTGCCTTAAGCAAGTGGTGTTTATTTTTTTTTTTTATTTGTTCTTCCA